GCTTAGCAAGCTGTCGTCATTCTTTCCCCACCTAAAATCCCCTTGCTTGTACCTTGCAGTCATTTACTGGCTCATGCCTTCTATCACTTCCACACCTCGCCATCTCCCTGCTGTTCCGGCACACCTGCGACCACGTCCCTGTTTCCCTCAGCATGAGTAGATGCTTGCACGTATGTGTATTTGATAATGTGTACGTTTAAGTGCTCGACTACAAAACTGTCGGTTGGAAGGATAAGCCAGTAGAAGGTGCAAATGTCTCTACCTAGGCTCTGGAGGCTACATCATGTCTGCTGAAGCTAAAGTTGCTATGTACATGTGCATTAGTAGGATTTAGTTCCCATACATGAAACAGGTTGTTAGCCCTTTTTCCCTGTGTGCAGTGTCCTTGTTACAGACATACGGTCTTTTGTGGCCTACTGTCTTTCCCCGAACACAACGTACCCTTATTATGACTGTATCGGACCGGAAAGGTGGGCACTTGTATACATGATGGGGGTACATTGTATTTGGGTGAAGTCAGTCGGTGGCATATCTGTCGCACTTGTCTCACCCTAGTGGAAATTTGTTTGTGTTACTCGTCTTTACCTTCCACTCTGCAGTGCCGAACAGGCTTTGGTCACTTCAGCAAATTGGTCTAGATTCTGCAGTCATCGGCCAGCCTCTGGCCTCCTTGGTTGCTCTGCCTGAGCTTTGGACTAATGATCATGTCTTTCAAATAAAAAACGACAAGTTCAGTTAGAGGACGCCATTATGCCAGAGCCGTTCATGGTTCTCTTTTACATTCAAACTTGAGAAAAGAAGTCCTTCAGCATTGGCAAGACAACCTTAGGTGCACGGGAATCGGCCATTGAGTGTAAAAGCAGAGGGGTCTTGACTGCAAGACTGACTCATCGGGCAGGGACGAAAATTGGCCTTCGTAGTCGGGTGGATGGATGAGCCGTCGCTCAACGGATAACAGTTACTGTAGGGATAAGAGGCTGATCTTCCCCAAGCGTTCACATAACCCCGCTGCAACACGGCATCAGACCCATTTGAAGCTATTCAATGCATCAACACGTGTTCTGTGCTAGGTAGTTGGCACTTCAGCCTAACATTGAGCATGCTTAGCAACCCTGGCTATTCGGAATTCAAGAGAACCCTACTGCAGTACCAGCTCCATTTGAAGCTATTCAATGCATCAGCACATTTCCCATGCTAGCTAGTTGGCACTTCAGCCTCATATCGAGCATGAAATCAGAACACGTCAGCCCATCACAGCGGCGCCTGCATGACCTCTTGTGTCAGTATCCTATTTGCTGACCTGCAAAAACCCGCAGAGCCTTCACTGAGCAATATTTGCAGTTCTGCAAACCTTGTGTTAACCATTACATTGGCGTAACAACGTGTTAGTGAGCAAGTTTCATGTTCCTGTCCATGTCGGCCATCACACTGTCCCATACTTTCCTGTCTCAGCCATCGCTGGTGCACATCCTCACCATTCACACAGTGTACCCATCCCCATTCACCACTGCACTAGGCCGTACATTGACTGTGGCATCATCCATCCGGCGCTTCCTTGCTAGCCTTCTTGTTGCCTCTCCTTTTGTATCCGCAAAATGATGCCTATCCATCCTTCATGTTGCCGTCTGTATGCCTCTCTCCCTATTCTGGCCCCTGATTTTCACTGAAACCTCTCAAATTTCCATGCCCAGCCTGGATGGAGGCACTTAAACAGGTGTGCAGCTGAAAGACTGGGCCGATGTGATGCCATGCATTTATACTGTGGAGGATGCTCTCTCTCTCTCTCTCTCTCTCTCTCTCTC